CCACTATGTCTGGGCTGGTGTCAGCCAGCAGGAGGGTGAATTCCTTCTGCTTGTTAGGCTTAAAAGGATACATCTCTGTTTGAGAGGGGGAAAGGGTACTTCACTTCCCAGTAGATTACTTTCTCACCATCATCTGTCTTCTCATAGAGCTCTATAATTTTGCAAAGAAAAAAAAAACAAAATTGAGCAATGTTATTAACATGCTTAAAATTTCAATTGCACCACTTCTATGATTAAGTCTAAACAGTGTTTTGATCTATGGAAAGAGATTACAGAAAGAAGGTTGCAACTCCGCTCCTTTAAAAACTTGCACATGCTACACCAAGTAGAGTTAGATCACAAGGGAAAGAAAAATATTCACGAATTAAGTGAAGCAAGTACACCAGAGATAGACCAATACATGCCTGCCTTCTTTTGAGTTTATAGATACAGAGAACACAATAGTCTGTGGAGGCTGAGAGTCAGACTCACTGCCAGACAGTTAACTCATTCCAAGATTTTTGCATCTCTCCAGCATAGGAATAATTTTTTATTTATATCCTGGCATCTGGTCATTCAGATTAGATTTACTGTTGTGTTTTCCTGGTCATACTGTTCCCCCAGAAGCTGTCAGCATCCTTGAGATCCATTCCAATAGAACATGAACTGGACATATGCCAAGTACAGAGAGCCTCTACTACACCATATTAGTGATATTTGAGGAAAAAAAAAATAGTGTTATCCATTGGCAGGCAGTATGTACCTATATTCCAGGGTAAAACAATAACCAGCGGAGCACATTGAAGATTCAGCTAAGAGCAGGAGGAATAGTAAAATCCAGCAACACTTAAAGGATTGCATGTGGGAAGACAGCAGAAGGAAGTCAATCAGTATAAGCCAAATTAAAATCACAGGAGGCAATGAGGAAGCTTCCTATGGCAACCAGGTTATTTCAACATCTATTGTATGGTAGGTTCTGAAGCAGGTTACAATACTCAGTGAACCTAATCTGACCAGGATGCAAATCCTACCTGCTGCTCCCTCCAGGGTGGCAAGATGAAGGAAGAAAGAAAACAGAAGAGAATAGAGGAGTCACTATTAGCTGCATGGTCAACTACACAAAGGTGCAATCCATACTAGTGAGCTGGTATACATAAAGCATCTTTTCTGTGTTATAGAAGGCACTTCCTCCATTCTTGTTAGAACCTGCAATTTCTTAAAGTCTTGCTCTAAACTCAAGGGACTGTTTGAAGATATGCAGATATTGCAATGACTGAAGTGCCATGCTAAAAAGAGCTTGTCAAGTTAGTAGTGGTTTGAAAGTAGCCTTCGAAGAAGGGAAAGAGGTAAAACAGGGTTTAGAGAGTGCTGTGCTACTATTATGTCTGGTTCGTAGATACTTACTGTTTAGCCTACAATAAAATGTCTGGCCTTCCTCCTCACCCCACCCAATATCACTAGTGGGAAGTCACACAACAGCCTGCTGTAGTCCCTTAATGGTCATGCCAAACACTACATTATCATTTTTTTCCACCAGAGGTCAGTGGAGTACTGGTTTGATGCTTTTTAGTTTCCTTATTCCTAAGGAGGATCAGGTCTATCAATTTTCACCTTTTCTAGATAAAAAAAGATACGCAGACATGATCCAGAGAAAAGCGAGGCATATGCTTTTAAGAATGCATAGTTTTAAAATTGTACATCTATCCTCAAGCAAGAAATCTGGGCACATAATTAAGAGCCACATCCACCTATTCTTCCTTTAGCCCATCCCTACAAGAGGCCAAACTGTTCAAAGCAGGCCAGCAAAACTTTAATTACCCACTCTCTAGGTTGAAACATCTGCAGTTATACTGAAAATAGTTAAAATGCATTATATCTTTATTTAAAGCAATTACAGAAGCATTTGTTAGTCAATCCCACTTAGTTTTATTCATAATACTGCCTCTAAACAGTGTTAAGTCTTGCCAAAGTAACACTTTGAGGCCTTGCTTCTTCAGAGAAGTTTGAGTACAGCAGAGATAGGCAACAGATTTTTGTACAGCTTATATTGACCAGTCCCTACTTTTCATGAGTCACCCCATCACCCCT